GCTTCCCAACCTCTTTTCATAATTCAATATAATTTTATTTTGCTTGATTTTTTTTATTTTTTATTTTTTTATTTTTACGCAGGTTTCGTCTGTAGTGGACCACTTGATTAACGAACTTACTTTTGATTTGTGGTGAATTATTGATGTCGTGTGAATTTTTTTTTTTTCATATAGTTTGTTCTTTTTGTAAAGATTACTTACTGTAACTTTCTTCTTGTTTATTTCTTAAGGGGGTCACAGTAGACGACCGTGTGTTGTACTGGAAAAATGTGAACTCATGGGATATGATTCAGCGTGAAAGTGATCCCGACTGGACATTTGCTCCAGATACTTTCGAATAGTACATTGTGCGCAATTTATGCAGTAGAAAGAGGGCTCCAAATGGTACACATGACGTCCCAAGCGATCATGTCGAAAATTATTCTCAGGCAGTCCCCGACCTCTGTTGGATTGTCTGTGCAAGTTTTTTCCGGCCATTAATGTGTGCTACCAGCCCAAATACATAGAGGAACAGAAAGAACCAAGCTCAGATCGACTACTAGATAAGATCCTATTACAAGCACGGCTATGAGATGAGTATGAGTTACGTTGGCTATCTTGAGCTAATCGTAAAAGCTATGGAAAACGTCTTAGGTAATAATAATTTTTTTTTTCTTAGTTTTTATATAAAAGTATTTTATTTTATTTATTTATTTATTTATTTTTTTGTTTTTAGCCTAAAAAATTCCGTATCAGGGGAGAAACTGGACGTGGAAAGTCTAAGTGCTAGGCACAAGAAATTCCTCAAGACTTAGACTTTCCAAGTCCAATTTCTCCCCCCGGAATTTTTTGGGCTGAAAACAAAAAAAAATAATAAATAAATAAATAAAATATTTTTATATAAAAACTAAGAAAAACAAATAAAAAAATATTATTATTACCTAAGACGTTTTCCATGGCTTTTACGATTAGCTCAAGATAGCCAACGTAGCTCATACCCATCTCATAGCCGTGCTTGTAATAGGATCTTATCCAGTAGTCGATCTGAGCTTGGTTCTTCTGTTCCTCTGTGTATTTGGGCTGGTAGCACACTTTAATGGCCGGAATAAAACTTGCGCAGACGATCCAACAGAGGAGCGGAGACTGGCTGAGAATAATTTTCGACATGATCGCTTGTGACGTCATGTGTACCATCTGGGGCCCTCTTTTTACTGCATAAATTGCGCACAATGTACTCTTCGAAAGTATCTGGAGCAAATGTCCAGTCGGGATCACTTTCACGCTGAATGATATCTCATGAGTTCACATTTTTCAGTACAGCACACCAGTCGTGGTCGTCTACTGTGACCCCCTTAAGAAATAAACAAGAAAAAAAGTTAGTAATCTTTACTAAAAGAACAAACTATATGAAAAGAAAAAATTCACACGACATCAATAATTCACCACAAATCAAAAGTAAGTTCGTCAATCACGCTTTGATATGGAAGAGGAAAATGCCGACCTAATGTTACCCAAATTGGGCCCCGAGGTTATCGAGAATGTGTGCTGTTCGGTTAAGTGTGTCGTGGTTTTGGTTACGGGTCGACCCGTTTTGATCCAACCGTACTTGGCACAGATTGATGCCTTGGTTGCCGCATGGCTGCCAAGGGCCAAGGGGTGGCCGACATTTTGTTCGGAGATTACGGTTTTGCCGAGAAGTTGCCGATCACGTGGTTCAAGACGGTCGACCAGCTGTCGATGAACGTCGGCGACCCCACCCGCATTACGACCTGCTTTACCTGTTTGGGCTTAGTACACGGCCGTTTAAGGGCAACTAAGAACTGAAGTTGGCTATTGGTTTTATGAGGTCAAAGACTCAACAATGGAAATATTGGCTGAATATAATTTAGGAGTTGTCTAACTAGAATGTAGTTTAGTGGATTTTTTTTAATGATACACTAATACAACGCCTTTGTAATACACGGGGGTTTTGCTCATTTTTTTCTTTAAAATCTAAAATTACTGAGAAAAATTAGTCGAAATTTAAATACCTTTTAAAAATATTTATATTATTATATTTAGTATGACACTTTTTATTTGTGCGACTTGTGTTATATTATAATTATTTTTTTAACTTACAACATATAACTACATTAAAAATAAATATATCAATTGAGAAATAATTTTATTTTTTTTAATGAATTTTAGTAAATATTATTATTTTTTATTATTATAAAAATAAATATAATTTATTTGTTTTATATATACAATATGGATGTCAAATCGAAGATCATCAAAAGATGATTAATTTAATATATTATATATGTAAAACTGATAAGAAATACAAAAGTTATCTACTTTTAAACTACATTTACGATTCAATAGTTA